TGATTACTTTGACTTTGTGAAAGGCAAGTACTTGGCTGTTGTGGACTATTATTCACGATACTTGGAAATGATAAATGTTCCACTATGACTGTAGATGAACTAATCAAGAAAATGAAAGCCTGTTTTGCTCGACATGGGATCCCTGAAATCGTCATTTCTGATTCTGGCTCGCAGTTTACAAGCTCAGAATGGAGAGCCTTTGCAGCCGATTTTGGGTTTAAAACTATTTGTTGTAGTCCCTTACACCATCAGGCAAACGGTGAAGCTGAAAGAGCAGTCCAAACGCTTAAAAAGATGCTTACAAAGAACAAAGACCCCACTCTTGCACTATTGGAGTACAGGTCAACACCAGGTCCGTCAGGGTACAGCCCTTCGGAATTGTTGATGGGAAGAAGATTATGAACCCGATTACCGTCGTTGACAAAAGATCTTAAGCCTAAAATGGTAGATCACAGGAGATTTAGAGAATTGGACAAACTATATAGAACAACTCAAGCAGATTACTTCAATAAACGGCATGGAGTGAGAGATGAAAAGCAATTCACGATTGGGTGCAACGTGTATATTCCTGATAGGAGAGAAGATGGGAAGATAGTTAATAAGGTAGCTCCAAGATCATACACAGTTAAGACAAACGAAGGCATGTTACGTCGCAACAGGGTAATGCTAAGACAACTACAACCCAAAACATCTGATGACCCTGGAACTGAGCCTAATTGTTTTTCCTCATTTGGTAGACAAATAAATCCACCGAGTAGAACATGTCTTTAAAAAGAGGAAGGGAAGATGTCATATGTTTGTTGTTCTGTAATATTAATTTGGTAATTATTAAGATCATCTGGAGATTGTTGTTGTTTTGTATTTACAAATAATTCAGTATGTAACATTTTATTCCTAAAATAAAAGTTGTTATTACACTATAAAACTTCATTATTTGACAAAAACTATTATCAATTCTTGTTTTATACTATTATTTTCAAGATATTTTATTTTGTTAAACATTTCAACTTAAAATGAATGAAGAACAATTTGAAAGACTCATGAATGTGTTGGCTGCAGCTCTAGGTAATAAAACTTCAACTCCTCAGATCAATCATGAGAGAGAGTAGAAAAGGAACTTACAACCCTCGAGTCTCAAGGAATCATAACTCCAGTCGCATCAAGTGATTGGGGGTCACCATTGGTTGTTATCCCAAAGCCAGATGGAGGAGTCAGACTATGCGTAGATTACAAGTGTGGGGTTAATTCAAAACTTGTCTCATCTAACCACCCCATTGATGATGTCCTACATAGTCTCCGCGGATCAAGATACTTCTGTAAGTTGGATCTTCATAAGGCTTATTTGCATCTTAAAGTCGATGAAGAGGGAAGTAAGATTCAAACAATATCAACCCATAAAGGAATGTTCAACATGAATCGTCTCAGTTTTGGAATAAAAACAGCCCCTTCTGAGTTTAATCAAATTTTGTCACAACTATTAAACGGTAGAAACATACTTGTATCAAAGGTAGAAGCATACTTTGATGATGTCATTTGTCACGGAGAAACTCTCGAAGAGTGTATGAAGAACCTTATTGCATGTTTGGAATGTCTCAAGAAGAATGATCTACATCTTAACAGAACAAAATGTGTTTTCTTCAAGGAAAGTATTAATTACCTTGGACATGTGGTGTCATTCAATAAGATTCAAAAATGCCTCAAAAAGGTTGAAGCAGTTACTCAGATGCCTCGCCCTCGAAATGTTGATGAGTTAAGACGCTTTCTCATCTCGCTTATTGCGTTATTCTTCATTCCTCAGTGGTCTTGACTATACAGTTCGATGCAAGAAAGGGAAAGACAATGAAAACGTGGATTGTTTGTCTCTAAGCCCAGTTCAATCATCAATTTCATCTGAACTAACATTCGACAAAGAAATAAACACAATGCATGTAGAAACCTTACTTCAAATCTCGAGCACAGTGATAACCGCAGAAACAATCAAAGAAGAAACAGCAAAAGACCCTGAACTTCAAGTTCTTTTGCATGAACTGAAAAATAGTCGCAAAGATAGCCCTTACATTATCTCAGACAACATAATTTCCCGATCAGATCGAGTCGTAATTCCCAAATGTCTTCAAAATAAAATTCTAAATGAGCTCCATGAATCACACCTCGGAATTACTAAAATGAAACAGCTTGCTAGAAAATATGTATATTGGGAAGGTATGGACAAAGACATAGAAAGATTAGTGAAAAGCTGTGAAGCTTGTGCTAAAGTTCGTCACAATCCACCAAAAGCTCAGGTACATCCGTGGGATCAGCCCGATGATAGCTGGGAAAGAGTGCATATTGATTATGCCATTGCCGGTCCATTGGATGGAAATTATTTCCTCATGTGTGTAGATGCTAAATCAAAGTGGGCAGAAGTTCGCATTCTTCGAAATGCTCCTTCCTCAGCAACGACGGTGGCACTACTTGAAAACATTTTCTCAGTTCATGGGTACCCCTCGTTCTTAGTCTCGGACAATGCCACTATATTAAAAAGTGAGGAATTTATCAACTACTGTAAAGAACGTGGGATTTTCCAAAAATTTACTGCTCCTAACCATCCTGCAACAAATGGCCTGGCGGAACGAAACATTCAAACTTTAAAGAGAAGACTTATGCTGCTGCCGATGATCCAACCCCAATTACCACAAAGCTACAAAACATTATGTTCAGATATCGAGCAACACCTTTGGCATCAGGCAAGACTCCAGCAGAGTTGTATTGGAACAGGAAGATTCTGATTAGACTTGACACACTTCTCCCTAACCCAAAGGCAAAACTTCCATCAAAATCAATTGCTCCTCTTCGCATCCGCTCTCTTAAAGTGGGGGAGAGGGTTCAGGCAAGAGTTCACCTGGGAAATAAAGACATATGGCAGTTTGGTACAGTCAAGAGAAAATTAGGTCAATACCATTATTGGATGAATTGGATTCTGGACGAAGTTTAAAACGACACATAAATCAATTGATTTAGACTCTTGTATCCAAGAAGAAAGTTACATTTACAACACACAACAAACAAAATAGTTCTGGGTTTCCAAGACGGATACCTATTATAGACTGTCAAGCACCACCACAAGAGATCCACCCAGAGTCTGAATCAAATTCAAACAATCCAACAGAACTAGACGGTACTCTAAGGGAAGAAAATGTAGACAGACCTCAAGCCACAGAACAAAAAGAAAACAAATTAACTCGTCCTTCCAGACAGTGCAAGGTTCCGTCCTATCTTAAGGACTTTGCTCTCCAGTGATTAAGTGGGGGAGAATGTTATGAACATATGAAGCAGTTGTTACTATAGCAACCAAAATGTTAATTATCAAAATGCTGTTTACTTTTCTATTCTGATTCTTTTAATATAACACAGTTACTTCATTTCAGTATTTTGTCTTTTTATATTCTAATATTTCCACTCGAGTCATCTCAGTATGGGCATTCTCTTCCTTAACCTTAACCTAAGATAAACCTGTCCCAGCTGATAGCTAAATGCATGATAGGCCTAGTGTGTATATATAATATACTAGCAGAGTACCCGTCCTTCGTACGGGGTTGGCGTATCAGTATAAAATGCTTATTGCAGTTATACTTGGCTTTGCGTTTGCAATGGGAGAGGACACAGTTTATGATAATTTGGTTATTTTAATTTACGGTATTCTATAATATAGCACATTTACCATAGCCATAATGTTCTACCACTACACCTAAACCATAAAAAAAACGTAAAAGTCTCATTGTATATCACAGCTTTTTGTTGCTAGTTGGTTCAAATTAGCAGTTGTCATAAATGCAAAAAAGATTAATAGTGCTGCTGTATTGGTAAACCTTATAACTTTTTAATACTATGTAATATCATAGAACCAACTTGTGTAGTTGAAACAGCTGACAAAAATGTAATTCCTTTTAAATATGAAGACTCATAAGGTTAACATGAGTAACTCCAGAGCCAATGGGGCGAGGCCTGAAAGGATTTTTGAGATAAGAATATGTCTATATGTTAATGGGGAATGTGAGCTATCATCATGCCAAATTTCAGCCTAATCCGTCCAGTAATTAATGCGTGATTGAACTTCAAACAAACAAACAAACAAACAAACAAATAAACAAACAAACAAACACACAAACTTTCACATTTATAATATTAGTAAGATAATGTGTGTGTATATATAAAGTTGTGTACATAGTTATAAATAGACTAGTGATATGTGGCAACCCTACATAGTTGACAACAGCCATGATAGTAGCCATTTTGTAATTTGTAAACTCTTTCTCTACACTTGACAAAGTCCCTCAGGGGACAAGATATTGGGTGCACAGTGTATCTTCTAGATGTTCTATGGCCTACCTACACTTTCAAGGTATGCTAGCTGCTATCCTCCTTTTTCTAAAGTAGTGTTTTGCCGAACATGGCCAAAATTCCATCTTTTAGTTTCCACAGTTGCGAAGATGTGCGATTAAATATCGCTATCCCGTCATGGGAGGCAATGATGTCACTGTGACAGTACTAGATGTTCTCTATTTTGCTGTGATCGCAGAGGACGTTCTCGATTTGGCCATAACTATGGAAGGTGTTCCTGATTTTGCCATGACTGTGGATGATATTCAACATTTTGCAGGGACAGCGGAAGGTGTCCTCAATTTTACCACGACCGCGATTATCCGTAACCGTGGCACATTGTTAAGATATATTAATAAATATTTTTCAGAACTTTAGTAATCTTTTCAGCAACTGTCTCATCTAAACATAACTAATCATTCACGAAATTGATGCGATCTTTAAAAGTTTTTAGTAAATTTCCCTGACTTTCTGCCTTTTTTAAAAACTTTCCCTGACCCTATACCTGTTTCCCTGACTTTCCAGGTTCTTTGGAACCCTGAACAAAGTGGCATAATAAAAGATTTTCCCAGTGAAACTTCAAAATTAAATTCACACATAATTTTCAGTTTTCCTTGAATTGATGGTCTGTGGCCACTTACTTGAGCCATGTAGTGTAGAGGGCCCTCAGCTGAGAGCACGAGTGGGAGCACAGTTCCAACAGAGCACTCCACAGCAGTAGATAGCAGCGAGTGTACGTGTAGCTGTCTGTCCATGGCTCAACAATACATAAGTCACCAAAACTGTCAGAATATCACACAAATATCTTACAGATTGATCAGTACAATAACCAGTTAAGTTTTAAAGCTATCAACTTTAAGAAAAGTTAAAATATTGAATGGCTAGTGTTTGAAGGGTCAACATTTCTGGACACAAATCATTGTAGGAATGTAAAACGTAATAAGGCAGTAAGGTAGTATTTAACTACTGTATGATGATCCATTTTTGACATGAAAGAAAAATTAAATTTTAGCATCAGTCCCTATTATATTAGTTTCGACACAGTTGATTGTCAAAGCCAATCAATCAATCAAAATTCCTTTATTTCAAAATAAGAGCACATAGTTACATGAAATAGAGTAATCAAAATTGAGATTTAGTTAATAGAGGAGAGAAACAATACATGAGGTAAAATAACAACAACATGATAATCAGAGCCTTCAAAAGAGTTAAGAACACAACTTCTTGATGGAGAAGAAAGATGAAAATATGAAAGATCATTTTGATCATTGATAAGATTACTTGTCAATGATTACAATCATATATGATATAAGATTACTCTATCATTGATGAGACACAATTTAAAGGTTTTCTTTATTAGTCGCAGTTACAATTATATTGGTCCTAGCAGAGTACCCGTACTTTGGCATATACATATAAAATGCTTATTGCTGTTTTACTTGTGCTTTGCGTTTGCAGTAAGAGAGGACATGTTTTAAGAAAATTTGGTTTACTATAATTTACTGTATACTATAGTATAGCACATCTACAATAGGAATAATGTTCTACCGCTGCACCAAAACAATAGAAAACAATTAAGTTCTCACAGCTAATTGTTGCTGCTTGGTACAAATTAGCTGTCATAAATGCAAAAAGAATTATAGTGCTGCACCCTGTTGGTAAACCGTATAACTTGTTAATGCTATTGAATATCATAGAACCAGCTTGTGTAGTTGAAACAGCTGACAAAATTCTTTAATTCCTTTTAACACTGATACCGAAACCCTACCCAGGCTGACGCTAATCGAAACCCCCGGTCTGTGAGACCCCATTTGAAAATAATGAACCCCGCTTAGAAACACACAAACCGAAACCCTAGGTCTGTGAGACCCTGCTTTAAAATACACTAACGCTGGGCTTCTGAGACATTAATGTTATTGACAGACAACCTGTCAAGGTCACGGCACCCACGCAAAATTAACAAACAAAATGACTTTGGTCATTTTTCATCCCCCTATTAACAGGTAGGGGAGGAAAAGGGGGGAAGGTATTCGGGGAATGGAATCCGTAAACAGTGTTGCCAACATGCGTTTGTGGAAATTCCCATGGGCCTGTCAGACCGGGGTTTCGGTATAAGTGTTTTCAATATGAATACTCATACGGTTAACATGGGGCCGGGGTGACTCTAGAGCCCAAAAGTACATTAGAGATAAGAGTACTGTGGTCTAGTGTCAAGATACCAATGGACTTTGTCACCCGCTGTTGTTTACCTGAGGCCAGACAAGATGACATCTATGATGGACTGAGTGTAGACCAGGGTCTGATCTACGTGTTGACAGCTCAGAGCAATGTTATCACTCTCACAATGCTTCATATCAAGCTCGACCATGGCTGGTATCAACCTAAACGTTATTTTACAATGAGATATATCTATTGATTTGTTCTATTAATTACCAATAAACTTAACAAAATATCCCATGATTAAATACTGATAAAATACACAATTCAGGCATGTATTTAACCAGATGAAATCGGTTTAGTTTAATATTTTTGTCTTCAATCATTTGACAAGGGATTGATACAATTATCATATTAGGAAAGAGGGAGTCCTTTGTCTAAAATTAACAGATTTAACATTTATTTAGATTGAGACCTGAGCTAGCCAAAGTATGCTATTTTTATGCTCAAATGATTGGTGTCGATTCTTAACAAGAAAGATTAATAAAGGGTGGTTCACGGGAATCAGACACTTTTGAATCGCGCATTTATTGGCGACTAGTGGAGGAGGAAACACGGGTCCATTCAGCTTCCCATCCAAAGCCATTTAGTCACCATCATGGCATGTTGGCATGCGATGCTTTTGTAAAAAGTGGTGAGTCAACTGTGAAACTCAACGGGGCGGGTCAAGATTGGAAGCTTAACGATGTTTCAGACGTCACTTTCGCATTGGTCGTCATGGTGACTTCCGAGTTAGAATACAATTTTAAGGTGGGCTTCATATTTAGAACTAAGGATCAAGGATCATTTTATGAAAACAAAAGCACCTGGAAGACAGTTTAGTGTGCTGTTGGAAAATGTGGGAATTATGGGCAATCTTCTTTTGAAGAAAAAGAACTCCTGTTACTGTTAACTATTCTGCACGATACGTGAACATTAGAAGAGACTTATTCATTCCAGAACTTAAAGGGTAAAAAATTTACATCAAGAAAAATAATGGTTTCAACAAGATGGGGCTACTGCTTACACGGCCAATGCTACTGTAATTTTGAGTGTTATTTCCTGGACATGTGATCTCATAGTTTGGTGATGTTGTGTGGCCACCGCGTTCACCGGACTTGTCAATGAGTGACTTTCTTTGTGGAGTCAAATCAGATAATTCTTTATTCATCATACACAAAAAATATGTGCTGAATAGAGTTAAATAACATAGAGGCTATCACACACCACACACACATCTATACAAATATAAAAAATGCTTATATACATTTAGTTTTCGGATAACTAAATTAAAATAAATTTAAAACTAAAAAGTATTCTTTTAAACATGGTAAAAATTTAAACCGTTCCCCTAATTTTGTTATGGAATTTAAATTAAAATCAGGCCTACCATAACTGATTTAATTTTTGTTTAAAAAAAGACTTCTAAGAAATAAAAATGGAAATTGGATTAGAAATATTTTAGCATTCTTTGAAATTTATTTAAATTTTCTTCCCTCTTTATCAAAGCCGGTTAGTGCTTTAAAAAGTTTTATCCTGAATAGCTAGTTTTCTTTTTAAAAAAATACTAGTTTATGCCGGGGTAAGTTAATTTTGAATCTAGATAGAATTACAAATCCTAACAGTATATAATCTGTATATTTATGAAACATCGATCCGTCTATACAAAACAAATTCAATTGTCATCCACTTTAAGCATGAGAATAGAATCCAAATTGGTCTTTGTTGTTGCACCATAAATAGATAATCCATGAGATATATGTCTATGCCGTAATGAAAAATATATTAGTGATGGTCGGATCCGGATATCGGACTACCGGATCCCCTGGATCTGAGCTAGAACCGACGCCCGATCGGATCCACAAAAATCGTATCTTGGGCTGGATCCGGTTTTAATGGATCCGATTTTTTTCACAAAACGTATAGAGATGTGCGAGTATTCGAGTTCGAGTAGAGTACAACCTTGAAACTCGAGCTTATCCTTGAACTAGCCAGTTTCGAGTCAGTTTGGTTTAAAATTGTAAAAAATCAATATTTGTGAAAATGTAACTTGTGTTTACATAAAATGAAGGATAATTTGTATTACTCTAGATTATACAGTAATACAAATATTTCTACAGTGTAGAAATAAGCAAGAGGTAGTTGTCCTAATCTATTTTTATAACTGTCACAACAGAATAGGTCAACTCAAAGCAGTCGCCGGTGACTGACTGGCAATTGTATACTGACTTGACATAGAATGGAATGACATGATCGGTAGTGATTTTGTTTTAAAGTACTGTTTCACAATAGAAAATTCCACTACTGAACTCTAGGTTAGGTAAGCAATAAAAAAATTATGTTTAAATACCCCCGCCGCAGCAAACCTGCAGACTAAGCGAATTTCCATTTGACTGATTGGATTTACACTGAAATGTCTACTTAAAAATATAACATTAATTCCCTATTTAAATAAAATTAGTTTAACAAGTACTTAAGTTTGCTGCATCAGGGAGGGTAAAACTGTTTTTTTTGTAAATGTTAATAGTTAGTAATAAATAAAAACATTTTCCAAATTTGATCAAAATATGTTCATAAACAAGCAAACTACAACAGTTTACTTATTCTCCATAAGAATAACATGGGAATTTTAAATTTACAATTTTTTTCAATTTTCTCCGTAACCATTAGGCGCATAATAACGCTTCAATATACTAAATTATTTGTTTTTTAAGCTCTACAAAGTGGTTTGGAAAGAAATTGCTAAATTTTATGTTTTTTTGGGTCAAAAATGGGAAAAACCTATTTTTACCCCATAAAACCCCCCGTAAACCCCCGTTCCCATGGTCCGATCAAGCTGGATCGCAAACTCGTTCGAATAAACGTAGGTTTACACATTTGTACCAAATTTCATCAAAATCGGATCATTTTTGCTCGAGTTATCGTGCTAACGGACACACATATATATATATACTAGCAGAGTACCCGTCCTTCGTACGGGGTTAGAATATAAGTATAAAATACTTATTGCAGTTATACTCCAGCTTTGCGTTTGCAATAAGGGAGGACACAGTTTGATAAAATTTGCTTTTTTAAATTTACAGTATTCTATAGCATTACACATCTACCATAGCCATAATTTTCTACCACTTCACCTAAACAATAGAGAAAAATAAATTATCAACAATTCGCAAAATATCACAAATTATTCATGAAATGAAAAACATAAACATAACTGTAAACAATCCTACTTTGACAGTTCTCATTGCGAATCACAGTTTTTTGTTGCTGCTTAGTTCAAATTAGCTGTTTTCATAAATGCAAAAAAATATAGTGCTGCACCCTGTTGGTAAATCTGTTGGTAAATGGTTTAATGCTTTTCCATATCATAGAACCAACTTTTTTAGGTGAAACAGCTGACTAAATTCTTTAATTCCCTTTAAATATGAATACTCATAAGGTTAACATGGGGAATTACAGAGCCACTGGGGCGGATCCCGAAAGGATTTTTGAGATAAGAATATGCCTATATGTTAATCGGGAATGTAAGCTGTCATCATGCCAAATTTCAGCCCAATCCGTCCAGTGGTTTATGTGTGATTGAACTTCAAACAAACAAACAAACAAACAAACACACAAACTTTCACATTTATAATATTAGTAAGATATAAACATATAAATATATAAATATATATATATATATATATATATATATATATGAATTTGAAGTGTTTTAGGCCTCTAGGGACCTCAAAACAAAAAAAAAAATCGGTCCCGCGTCCAGGTCTTACCATGAGTACTATGGTAATAGCTTATTCCCTATATGGGAAATTCGCTAAAAGGTCAGAATAGAAACTCTAGAAAGGTAAAACAATGGAAGGGAGGGAGGGGTTGTGCAATGACCTCGAAATGAGCAGGCATGGCAACAGTAAGTGGAGTAGGGGGTTGGGGGGGGGGGGAAAGGGAGGGTGAGTCATTTGAGCTATATTTACACTAGACTTTTGCCACTTCCCAAATGGATTACAGTAGCAGGTTTTTTCCTTGCCTGGTTTGACTTTTGTCTTTTTGTGTAGGAGATTTGAATAATCAAAAATATAATTTGAATTGACCACAATTATTCAGCATTGATAATACCATTTGCAAGACCAGGAGAAATATTATTCGAATTAGAGTTAATGCCATGATTTGCATTTTTGATTTTTATGTCAAAATACAACTTTGTGCAATCATGATGTTTTGGGCCATTGACCTTTTTAATATAACGCATCTGTTATTAGTCGATAATTATAAATTGATGTTCCCGTGGTTGAAAATAATTATTCCGTAAGCTTGTAAAACATTAGATAACTCATAAATAAGTATAAAATCATGCATAAAGATAATGTGACAGAATGTTTGTTTACAATTAACAGACAAGATTGGAAACTTTAATTTTCTTTAATTTTAAAAATTTATTTTTCCTTTACCCACTGTCAAACCATTAGAAATTGTGTATGCCCACTGTTACAAAAACCACATCAACTATCTCTATACCTACTTTAAATTGTAATTGGAACCTTAATAACGAATAGATGCAAGTATTAAGTAATTTTAGCCTAGTATTATGCAATATTACTTATCAATAGGGATTAATGTAATTAATTTTTAGATAAATAAATACATGTTCACTTACTTATTTTTCGCAGAAGTGTTATGTGTGTGTGGTTATGTTTGTTCATTTATGAACTCTAATGTTGTTGTTTTAAAATTATTTTCCATGCATTCTATTGATATGTTACTGCACGAATATTAATTATTAATTAATTTATAATCAAACTTCAGCTTGCAACAAGGTTGTTTTACAAGTGATATGCTCTAGGCCTAAAGAGTTACTTAAACTTACATATCCTCTGATCTTTTTGGTTTAAACTCGACTCGAACTTGAGAATCATAGTTTTTTTGCCAATTACTCGACTTGACCTGAAAAACCTGTGCTCGCACATCTCTAAAAACCCCCTTTATAAAGTTTTAAGTATTGTATTCATTCATATATATATATATATAAGTAGATATATTCATGTCACTTCTGGGCCAAAAAAGGAGCCACTCAAAAATTAAATGAATTTTCCTATTTTTTTATACAATATGCTATATTTTTTACCCTTTTAGGTCAATTTCTAACATATTCATATTTTTCTAGAAAAAGTATATAATTTTGATGAAATTT